ATGATCTTTTATATTTTATCTAATATTCCATTACACATTCCAGATAAGTATTTCAAAGATCTAGACTTTTTGATCCGGCAGTTTCTTTGGGGTAGCTCACCGCATCGTTTAAGTATTAAGAAACTTCAAGCGAGTGCAAAACAAGGAGGTTTTTCATTGCCTAATTTCCAATGGTATTATTGGGTGATAAACGTGAAACAACTTAGAGCTTGGTTACCTACTGCACCAGTTAAACCCATCTGGTCCCATATAGAGATGGAAGTTAATGGCGATATTTCTCCTTGGAGGGAGCTGTTTGATACCAGTCATAAAACTATCCATCCTATAATTGCAAACGCGAAGACATTGTGGTGTAAATTACATAGGGCAGGTCGCTAGGACTTTATTAAATCACCTTCGGCAACCTTATGGCGGAATAAAAGAATTTTAATTGGAGGGACATCGGTTGACTGGTTACAGTGGCATAAAGCAGGCATCCTTAATGTATCAGATTTATTTGACTGTGGGACTAAATGTTTTTTAAGCTTTGATAAAATTGTGGGGTTATATAAGTTGAAGCGTAATCAATTCTGGAGATATGTCCAAATACATAGTTCATTATCGAAGTGGCTGTGAACCCCCTTGAGTTGTCCTGTGGGCAGCCCTGTGGAAGTCCTGCTCTCAAGATCACCGCTAAGATTTATCACTTATTGCAAGAATGGTCAGCTGACCCTCTCCTGAAAGTTAAGGGCTACTGGGCCCAGGACATGGCATTGGACATATCTTCAGTTGAATGGGATTCATGTTTTCAAAATGTTAATACTATGTATAAAGAAACAGGCAGTAGATTTATTCAACTTAAGATAATCCATAGGTGGCATCGAGCACCGCAACAATTGTATAAATGGAACCTGGCCTCTACGGACGAATGTTGGAGATGTGAGGGTCAAAACACTTCGATTTTACATATCTTATGGAGCTGTTCGGCACTTCGGGATTGGTGGGAAAATATAATGGAGGTCATTTTCAGTGTTTTAAAAAAGAGATTTGGTATCTCACCTAAACTGTCCATATTTGGTATAACCACAGAACTTTCTGATGGAGATTTTTCCAGTTATACAAAAAGATGGATTATTCTGGCTCTTACTACGGCCAAACGGGTCCTGCTAAGACATTGGCGGAAA